TTTGAATTGACAGAGCTCTGCAGTCTTATCACAGCGATGAGTATCCGAAGATAACACCATTCTGGCTAGTTATCTGGATTCTTGTTTCTGCATGAACGTTAAAATGATCAAAACACACATTGTTTAATACTTTCAGCACAGAGCAAAACTGATACTTTCCCAGACAGAAAGCTTTTTGCATACCAAGCAGAAACCCGGGTCAGTCCCTTAAGTGCAAAAGAGGGACCACGCAATCAATTAGGCTCCATTCTCAAAGAACAATACACTCCTTCAGGACGTATACCTGCCAAGGCAGACCAGCAAAGGCCAGTCAAAATTCATGAATTAATGAGAGTCTTCCACCAGTGTAGCTGCTGGGTACAGTTTTAATAACATTGTAATGCCTCATGTGCAGACTTAAGTATTCGCCTATTCCAAAACGTTTCCAATTTTCTGACAACTTATCAAATTAAACCAAATCAAAGCAAAAGGCTCATTCTGTATTGTGGGGAAATTAGACCATTGTACTGGTTTTGCTCCGTATTTGTTACATTTGTCCAATGCGTTGATATGGCAAGAAACGACGGAGCGAAGAACAATGACTTTGAAGAGTTTTTCTAGTTAGCATGCTAGAAAGCACTTACAGATTATGTACATCCTAAATGGGTGCCTAACTCTCCAAAGATGTTATGTCAATGATAGAATAGTTGGTGATTGAGTCGATTCATTCAGCAGAATACGTACAATTATAGACGAACAGGGCACAAAGCAGATTTCTGTCGAATAAGATACAAGTATTTGATCAGAAAAAAAGGAAACACGTTTTAAAATGCTTTATCTTGCAAGGTTGAGAAGTACTTTTCCAGCTAATAACTTGGTCTAAGGTCCATGGAACAACATTTCCAAATTCTATTGAAGTCTGGTTACACATTTTTTGGGATCACAAGATAAAAACAAACAAACAGAAAAGCTGAAAGCATGACCTCCTTGGCAACAGCTACAAGAGCAGTCACCATAGCTACAGGAAGTGTGCAGTATCTGCTGCTGTGATGTTACTAAAGACCTTAAAAAACCTGGATTATGATCACATCGTTTACCTGTGTAATGTCAGGAAATCATATCCACTCTCCTCTACCATGACAAATGACTTGCATTCGGATGAAGTTTCAACATTCTGTTTTTATGCTCATATGCCATGAATCTGAATGAGGATTTGGATCTAAAACAGAGTATTGATCAGCAGTAGTGCAATTAAAATAATAAGTGGGTGTATTATAATATTACAAAATGTGTCATTACAGAGCCTTGTTATGAATTTAAGCAACACCATTTGATATACTAATATACAGAATACACTGATACTGGTTCCTGATGAGCATATTGTCTTAACTCAGAAAAAGAAACACGATATGTCTCATAAACATGTATTCCAGCGCTATTATTCAGAGTACATGACACTGCTACATTGTTGAAACACCTCTTCTGTTTGCATACTGTAGTCTAGGTGTCTTCGCACTGCTGTCTGTGAACGGGGGAACAAGTGGCGAGTCATCTCTGCAACAGCTGATAAACAACACTGCAGCTGAGGGACGAGCTGAGGCGCTGCCAGACTCATCAGCTGCTAAACAGGCGCAACATTTCTGCTTTGTGGGTAAAAAGAGCAACCACCAAGAGGACAAGATCTACCAAATCAAACAAGACATTTTTCAGCCAAATTACATCACAACCTGTTTAGTTTTATCCTTCTAAGTCTTGTGTTTTGAATGTTTTCTTCTGTTATCAAACAGGCCCCAATTCAATTCGATTCCTCAAGGCTTTTCCACATTTTTGGGATCTTCATGCACTGTGGAGGCATGCAACAACAATTGTTTCTTCAAGAATTCGAAGTAGCACAGAGTCAGGTTTATAAAAAAAAGGTTATTAAAGGGGTTAAGAATTCCTTTAACTTCACACAGAGCTAGGCAAAAAAAAGGAAATGATCAGCCTTGATAAACTCTTATTGGTCGAAGCACAACGTCGGCAACACAGGCACAAAGAACACAAACAGCTGACTCAGCACTTCGGGCTGTTCTGCTATTTCCATAGCAACCCATTAATTCTCATCTACAACCCTCAACACCTGATGGAGAGTGTTTGTGTTTGACCCGTGTGACTCATTCAGTTACAACGGATGGTGTGTGTGTGTGTGGCGGTACTGCATTAGTGTGTCACTCAAAGTCAGATTGAACTCCCTTTGCGAGACCCCTGCTCTTTGAGTGCAGGGGGCTGCACTTACAAAGGCACACACACACACACACACACACACACACACACACACACACACACACACACACACACACACACACACACACACACACACACACACACACACACACACACACACACACACACACACACACACACACAGTTAGAAGAGATTAATTCACACTTTCATCACCAAGCCATGGTCCCAAGGGGGGCTAGAGGAGACTTGGGCAAAGTGTCTGCAGGGGTTATACATGTAGGTGTGTGTGTGTGTGTGTGTGTGTGTGTGTGTGTGTGTGTGTGTGTGTGTGTGTGTGTGTGTGTGTGTGTGTGTGTGTGTGTGTGTGTGTGTGTGTGCAGTTAAAATGCTCTCCCTATACGGGTCATAAAACCAACACAGCCTGGCCACGGTACAGACGATGTGCAATGTGTATATTTCTGCGTGTGTGTGAATGTGCATGCTACTACATTTCCCTCTCTGTAGGTCAACTCTTCAGCCATACAACTTCCCCAAATGTCCCTTATTTCATAAAACATTACAATCTCCAATATAACCTGGCTCAAGTCTTTCAATTAAGATGCTTCTTAGCCTCTTTAGAAAGAGCATTTCTCAAAATGCATCACGGTCGCACTATGGGGACCGGTAAAGTTTATTGAGTGAATTGAAATGGAGTGTTAAGTATTAGAGGAAATGTCAATGAGGGTTTGGATTCCTGTTCATCGCCATAAATGAGTGACTGCTCACTGCTGCTGCACTTCATCACACCATTGCGCTCCGCTGCTTCAATCAATGGCCAGTCTGCCTGATCGTTTCTGTTGTACTGAGGAGGGGTGTGTGCAGGCTGATTGCAACGCCTTTGTTACCCCGGTGGTTCAGTGCATCCCTCATATTGGAAACATCACTAAACTCAGAGAAAAAGCTGCTGGATGGGAAACATGAACACACCTGCCCACGACCCTCATGCACACCAACTCTGAGAAATCCCTTTGTGTTTAGGAGTAATCACACAACAAAAGCTCACCTTAGACAAATACAGTAAATCTGTCTTTACAAGTCACAACATGAAGTTTTGACGATAGAAAACTTGTATTTTTTCAAAGGCAAACGAGTAAAAGCTGGGAGTGAGGTGAGGTCATGCCTTTTGCTTCTTGTTATCTGCAAATGCATTTATTTTTTCAAATTACCATATCTGTTAATCATGATAAACTGCTGTCAATATAGATTGCTAATGGAATATGTTGGGATTTATTGCCGAAATACGATATTTTGTCATTTTATAAAATATGCCTTTATTTTCACTGATATTGTGATGCTTAATCAACTAATCAAATTGATTAAAATAAAAATGATTGCCTACTTATGTATGTTGATAATTAAAAAACACGCTTTTTCCGACTCTACATCATGTTGACTGCATATATTCATTTGTTTTATATCATAATGAACTGAATATACAGTATATTAGGTTTCACACTGACAAAACAAGACATTTAAAGACATCACCTGGGACATTTTTCACTATCTAAATCCTGTTTTGGACCAAAGGATAATCTAGAAATATAATATGCAAATGATTAATAATGGAAATAAATGTTAGTTGCAGCGCTACATCTGTATATGCACCAGTTGGTGTGAATTATGCAACACTTAGTTGGAATGACATAGAAAGAAAAATTATTATCTGCCCTCAAATAAAACCTTTGAACAGTTTCTCATAATACATTTTTAAGAAATGTGAAAAGTTGTTAACTGCAGCTCTAGATTTGCACCTCATTATGTTGAAGCTTCTAGGAAATGAAAGTGCAATAAAACTGGGGTTTTCTATCTCACCACGACTGCTTGCCGTTTTTCAAGATTTGTGGGTAAGATCTTGGAAACCAATTGGAGGCGAGATGACAAGCAACATATCTTGCAGAACAGTGCTGATGCCATCACATTTTCTGTCTAATTGCCACATTACAGCCACATTCTTCAACACGCCTCACATCACAGCCACCAGACAATGCATATGAACTGCATCGCAAGCAAACAAGGCTCTCCATTCCTCTTCACTGAGCTTGGGTTATGAAACCTCTCACTGCTGCAGCCTATAGGCAAGTGTTCTTCACCAGGACTATGGCAACAGAGACAGGTGTCCCTCTTTTGTCCACTTAGTTCAGCTTAATTATACCTCAGTTACATCACAGGACAGACACCCTCATTAAGACAAAGTAGTGCCACATCAGGGAATATTACAGGTGATAACTCAGCCAAACAATCAATAGAGAACAGTACATCAGTCAATAGATGGTTGTGCAGTGCACTGCTGTTTTCTTCATTCTTTCTCCATGTTCCATAACTTGGTATCAGCCACCAAGTGTGTTCCTCATCACAGTTATGAAACAATCTATACGGAAATCAGACTCAATGCATGAATATTCAGCATAGACTCAATATTCACATCTATCTATACAACAGCAGTGTATCTGTGCAGGCAGCATGCTGTAGCTACACCCTGTTCCCCTGCAAACAGCAGAGATAAACAATAGGGAATTGGTCTGAACTAGTGCCCTCAAAATCTTCTTCCAACAGCGCCTGGTGCTATACTGGGCAGCAGGGAACAAATCCTGAAGTTGTTATTGGGTTTTTTGCATGCTGAATTGAAAAAAGTACCACTGACTTCTACTGTGTTTTCGTGAATAAACAACGATTCATGTAACGGTAAAACATGTAAACATCGTTTGTTGCTCTTAATTGAGAGACACTTGCACATATGGATGGTGGGAAAGTAACCTACCTTAACAGCGGAGCTCCTGACGGCTACAGGCAGCTCTCTGATCGCACTGCCCGGGGGAGAAGCGCATATCCCGACTGCGTACCCCTGCAGCGAGCCCCCGGCCAGGGACAGCCTCGCTCCTACTCCTCCGTTGCCTCGCTGCTGCGGCCGCTGCTTAATACCGTCCAGCAGGCGAACTAGGAGGATATTCGCTGGCAGGTCGTCCACCCTGCAGTCCACCAGGATGCGGCACTCCGGGCAGCGGAGCTCGTTCCTGGAGCTCAGAATGTTTTCCAGGCAGCGGCGGCAGAAGGTGTGCTGGCACGGCAGCACCTTGGCCGTGGTGTCCAGGCGCTCCAGGCACACCGAACACTCCAGCAGATCCAGCAGAGACGAAGACTCGTCCATGTCGGCGGAGAGGGTGAGCATCTGGGCTTTAGAGTCCGTGGAGACGCCGCGACGACTGGCTCGTGTACCGGAGAGAAGAACCGGGGGCTGGGAACATGCTGGGAGGCGACGGACGCCCCGCGACAGAGTCCTCGCGCCGAGCAGTTTACCGCTGTGGTGTGAATGTTCTCCTCTGGTCCGTACCTTGCTCCGTCTCCCTCAACGTGTTTGTGTTTCTCTCTTCCTCCCTCTGTGTCTCCCCCTCTCTCCAGCAGCTGTGCAGAAAGCGGTGAGGTCACGCTCTCATCATCATCATCCGCGCGCCGATCAGAACTGCAGCGCGCGCTCACGCACTAGAAACAGATTGATACAGACTGAGAGAGAGAGAGAGAGAGAGAGAGAGAGAGAGAGAGAGAGAGAGAGAGAGAGAGAGAGAGAGAGAGAGAGAGAGAGAGGTGTACAGCAGGTCAGTTTTTCTCTTCTCACACCTTCACAGTCACACTGACTGGTTAAAACATAAACACACACACACTTAAACCGGAGAGAATGTTGAAAGGTTTTTTGTCACCTGCTCACAAAGCCAAGCTTATATGTAGCCTCAGTCAAACTCAATACAGTTGGGCGTCAATTCACAAAACTGTCAGCCAAGCTATAGGCGCAAAGTATTGTCACTGGCAATACTTCTATGAGAGATGTTGCCCAAGTTTGAGCATGAGGGAACAGATTTCAAACCAAGAAGATTGTTTTGCTTAGTTGTGTTTTGCTTCCTTTTAATATATTTTAAACTTAAACTGTAGCAGTGCTCACCCTGTCATAGCCATTTGACAGGCGAAGAGATCTCTTCCATTACCTCAGGAACGACATTCAGCTGGAAATCAAGAACATTTGGTTTCTGGCGACATCTAGTGGTTAACATCTGCTGATCTTTTAGTTTTTTACCTGGTTCAAACAATTTAAATCTCAAAAAGTTATCATTTTAACGTGAAATGTTCTGTAATTTCCCGTAATATAAACTATAACGCCAATCAGACTCAACACTGGTATTCCTGGAATGGTTGTGAATGGACACAACATGAAGGAAACACTTAACAAAAGTAAATAACCTTTCTCGAAACTGAAGGGATTGATATTAATATTGTAGTAAAGTGAAGCAATATTGAACAAAATATGCTAATATAAAGTAGGATAAAGTACAGTGTAATGTGAAGGGGGGGGGGGGGGGGGGTAATATGGACAACAACTGTCAGAAGGGGCAGTGCCTAAAACTGTGTGAATTGGGTTGTAATTCACAGAAACAATAGCAGCCCTAATGTATTTGAAGAGGACAGGCAGGCTAAACAAAAAAGGGTTATTGTTATATATTCTAAGATGTGTGTGTGTGTGTGTGTGTGTGTGTTGTGTGTGTGTGTGTGTGTGTGTGTGTGTGGGTGTGTGTGTGTGTGTGTGTGTGTGTGTGTGTGTGTGTGTGTGTTTCTCAGCCATGACTGCTCTGTCTGTCCACCTGTTCAGACCTGCTCTGCTCTATCATTCTGCCCTGGAGGGGATCATGGAGTGATTGAGCCAAATGTGTGTGTGTATGTTTGTCCCAGAGTGTGTGTGTGTGTGTGTGTGTGTGTGTGTGTGTGTGTGTGTGTGTGTGTGACACAATGACGCCTTCCTGGATGAGGGGTGGGCCCACTACCTACCACCCACGACGAAAAGCAGAAGGAGGACTGCTTAGGCATACAATGAGAAGGCGGGAGTGTGTTTGTGTGTGCAACCATATTTACACTGATTAATCAGACACTGAGAATGTCTGCTACATTTTTTCACAAGGAAGTACCTAAATACCCCTTCCAGCATATTGCAGTTTTGCTATTATATGCGATAATGTAATATAAATATAATAGAAAAGACAATGATTTCTTGTCAGATCTGAAAAAAATGGTAAACTAAAACACATAATATCACATTTACATAATAACACAATACACAATAGAAGCTTCTCTAAAAGGAACATCGGGTGCTCGATTGACAAGGCTGAACTAGAAAATGCATTTCCTGCAGAAAATGCGTGCGAATGCTGTAAACTGTGAACATTTGTGGCTGAATTTAGCTGAAAATGCAGAAAAAGCTGAATATGTTATTAGCTGAATGGTAGCTGCTTTTAGCTACAGAGACCAAGTCAGTGTGTTGCTGAACTTAGCAGAGAAATGCAGAAAAGATAAATGATTTGAATCAAATTGTTACAGCTCAAATGCATTGCAATGACTTCCATGTTAAAAAAAAGACTTTAAAAAGCTGAATATTTTAAAAAGTATAACATATTTTGAAAAAGTTGAAAGTTTCCCATCATGTGCTGAAAAGGCTGAATAGTTTGATATTTGAATGGTTCCTGCAGCTGGAATTAGGCTGAAGGAGTTAAATAAAGATATTACATGTAAGTAGTAGTGAAGGAATGTTTACAAACACCTGTGTGTGTAAGCCCAGAGATCAAAGGTTACCATGGTGACGACATTATCAAAATACCTGTTTACGTCTGTCTGTCTGTTCCCACGGGAACGCATACGGCAAAACGCATAGGATTAACGCAAACGCAATCGCCAAAAAGCTTCCGTCCACACGCAATATACACCGGATAGTGTCTGCCCACACGAGACAGCTCTTTTTTGATCCAACCGCTGGAACAGCTGCAGTACATATGCCGAGCCTGTACGTGGCGCTGTAACTTCCTCCACAAAAGCAGCAACTTCCTCCACAAAAGCAGCGAAGAAGAATGGTTGTCATGGCTGCACTTCTGTTTATTCTCCACGGTGGGGGCCGAGGGAACCGGGCAGAGTTTTTCGCCGGTCAACGTGTGTTAAAGTTGAAATCTTCCGGACAAAATTATAAAAGTGCCGGTCAAAGGTCTTCTTTGATATTTATTGAGCTTTAAAACAAATGAATAACGACTCTATATAATGATATATAATAATAAAATATACGGAGCCTCTCTTTTTCCTCCCTCTCTTCTGACAGCGTCAGTGTCTGTCTCATGCAGCAGCTGATCCAGTAATGATGACTCAACAGTAAAAATAAACATATTTATAACTAGTTTAGGTAGTTTGAGAGGTAATTAAAATAGCTAAGGGTGATGATCTGACTTGAAGTGTGTGTTTTGCTCCCGCTGCATCACAGCGGGAGGAGCTGCGTGTCTCCGTCCTGTCAGATTAGACTTCACTCGCGTTTATGTCCATATCGAGATAAAGATAAATAATAATCTGAATTCAGTGTGCAGTGTACTTTTGCGGGGGTGAGCAGCAGAGGGGGGGAGGAGGCGGGGCTATTGCGTCGTCATTATCACAAAATGATCGTATAGAGGCGATCACACGGAGCCGTTGGACCCCCCAGAGCGCTCCGTTCCCAGATCTATCCACCTTTGGACCCGTTGTCGTTTGCGGGGTCCGTTTCTATCGTTTCGTTACGGCCTCGTGTGGCAAAAAGGGCTATATGCAAGAGAAATATGCGGATACAACCCGTTTTCGTTCCCGTGGGGCCGGGGCCTGTGTCTCTGTCTGTCTGTGGGCATGTCTGCTCTGATTAGATGCTGCTTGTAGCTACAAAAACCAAGTATGTGTGTTGCTGAACTTAGCGGAGAAATGCTGAAAAGTGAAATGATTTGAATCAAAATTGTTACAGCTCAAATGCATTGCAGAGTAGGAAAAATAGTGAAGAAGCTTAATATTTAAAAGAAAAGGTTTAAAAAAGGTATAAACAACAACATTGATAGCCTCAATGTCCTGAAATAGCTGAATAAGTTAATAGTTGAATGGTTTCTGCAGCTAAAATTAGGCTGAAGGAGTTAAATATCAGATATAAGTAGTATGAAGTCTCCATCGGACAGAAAATAATAGGCTGAGACAGTCTGTTAAAGTCCAGTCTGTCAGTGTTGTTTCTGTTCCTGAGCACCTACTCATAACACCCAATCATAACACCTGTGTGTGTGTCCAGAGATCAAAGACAACCAACTGCATCACTGAGTCCCAAAAGAATGCATTGAGTAGTATATCTGACAATTTTGTCACCAGAGAGAGAGAGAGAGAGAGAGAGAGAGAGAGAGAGAGAGAGAGAGAGAGAGAGAGAGAGAGAGAGAGAGAGAGAGAGAGAGAGAGAGAGAGAGAGAGAGAGAGAGAGAGAGAGAGAGACAACAGACAACAGACAACAGACAACAGACAACAGACAACTGAACTGACAAAGTGATGACATCATCCTGTTCAAACACAGGTGTTGACAGTTGAGCTAACGAGCTATGTATAGATCAAAGGCTTCATTGTTCTGAATGAGATGAACCTCTTACATGTGAACGTTTTGTGGAAGAACGATAACAGATATCTGTGAAATTTCAAAACGTGAAGCATGTCAAGGAAGTTGAGTATCTGAAGTGTAATTTTTCTTTACTTTCGGGTTAATAATGTGGCTTTTTTGGCAGTTTAAGAAAGGTGTGCGGCTGCTGCTGTGAGGAAATATCTGCCTGAAATTACAATGGGCTTTAATGGAGACATGTTGAACGTTTTTGTCACTTCATGCCCTCAAGAGGCATTTTATTTAATTATTTTGCTTAATTATTTGTCATTTTTCAAGCTATGAGATGTTTTCCTACGTTTATCATGAAAAATGATGTCTCAAGAATGTCGGGTTTGGGAATTATGGCAAGTTTAAAACATTTTTGGGGGAGCACTGCTGCACTCTGTTTTGAGATCAAAGCACTCTAGACTTAACGAGCTGCTCCATCCACACTAATGTTAAAATCTGAAAAAGGCCTCTCTACCAAGCTCCAAACAAAGTTAATTATCTCAAAAAGTGTAAAAGATATGAAGAATCTGAATAACAAGTTTTATCGCTGAAGGTCTTGTGATCATTTGAAAGTTGGAATGAAGTGTCTAGCTAAAATTATGTGGAAGGAGAAGCATTTGGCGCAAAGTGTAGGAAAAGAGGATTTGAAGGCATCTCCCATTGACTTCAATGTTAAAAAAAAGAGTTTAAAAAGCTGAATATTTCAAAAAGTATAAAATATTTTTTAAAAGTTGAAGGTTTCCCATCGATTCCTGAACAGGTTGAATAGTTTGATATTTGAATGGTTTCTGTAGCTGAAAGTAAGCTGAAGTTATGGAGAGCCAAAATATTGGTGAAATAATAATAAGGGGAAGAATAAAGAAATTGAAGTACTATAGTGGAATGCTGTAAACAGCATTCGCACTAATCAAGGTTAAATAAATATAATAACATATGTT